TCTTCCGCTACTTGGCCATCGGGGGTGAGGAGGAACCACGGGGGTGGTTGGTGGTTGGTGGTGGGGTGGGGTCAGGAGGAGGTGGGGGACCACCTTGGAGAACATCGTGGTGGTATCTCGGAGAACATCATGGTGGTGGCACCTAAAGAACCTCATGGTGGTATCTTGGAGAACATCATGGTGGTATCTTGGAGAACATCATGGTGGTGGCACCTTGAGAAGCTCATGGTGGCACCTTGAGAACCTCATGGTGGTATCTTGGAGAACATCATGGTGGTGGCACCTTGAGAACCTCATGATATTCTCCTGGAGAACCTCATGGTGGTATCTTGGAGAACATCATGGTAGAGCCACCTTGAGAACCTCATGGTGGTGGTATCTTGGAGAACCTCATGGTGGTGGTATCTTGGAGAACATCATGGTGTTCTCCTGGAGAACCTCATGGTGGTATCTTGGAGAACATCATGGTGATGCCACTTTGGAGAACCTCATGGTGTTCTCCTGGAGAACCTCATGGTGGTATCTTGGAGAACATCATGGTGATGCCACTTTGGAGAACCTCATGGTGGTATCTTGGAGAACATCGTGGTGGCACCTTGAGAACCTCATGGTGAGGCCACCTTGAGAAGCCCGTGATGTTCTCCTCGAAAACCTTGTGGTGGTGGCACCTTAAGAACCTCATGGTGTTCTCCTGGAGAACCTCATGGTGGTGGCACCTTGAGAACCTCATGATGTTCTCCTGGAGAAGCTCATGGTGGCTCCTTGGGCGGGGGAGGGTCAGGTTAGAGAAGCCCACATGGTGGTGGTATCTTGGAGAACATCATGGTGTTCTCCTGGAGAACCTCATGGTGGTATCTTGGAGAACATCATGGTGATGCCACTTTGGAGAACCTCATGGTGTTCTCCTGGAGAACCTCATGGTGGTATCTTGGAGAACATCATGGTGATGCCACTTTGGAGAACCTCATGGTGGTATCTTGGAGAACATCGTGGTGGCACCTTGAGAACCTCATGGTGAGGCCACCTTGAGAAGCCCGTGATGTTCTCCTCGAAAACCTTGTGGTGGTGGCACCTTAAGAACCTCATGGTGTTCTCCTGGAGAACCTCATGGTGATACCACCTTGGAGAACCTCATGGTGGTATCTTGGAGAACCTCATGGTGATACCACCTTGGAGAACCTCATGGTGGTATCTTGGAGAACCTCATGGTGGTGGCACCTTGAGAAGCTCATGGTGTTCTCCTGGAGAACCTCATGGTGATACCACCTTGGAGAACCTCCTGGTGGTGCCACCTTGAAAGTCCCCATGATGGTGGCACCTTGAAGGTCTCCATGACTTTCTCCTGAAGAACCTCATGTTGGTGCCAACTGGAAGGTTCTCATGGTGGTTCCTTGAAGGTCCCCGTGGTGGTGGCACCTCGGAGGTCCCCGTGGTGGTGGCACCTGGGAGGTCCCATGTGGTGGTCACCTCCTTCTCCATGGTTGTCCCTCAGGGTACGTGGGCGCTGCCACCGTGGGGGCGGCCGCCTGGTGGTTCCTCTACGCTGAAGATGGTCCCAACGTCAGTTACCACCAACTGGTGAGTCCTGGAGACCCCGTGGTGGCCCCAAGGTCCTCGTGGTGGCCCCAAGGTCCCCATGGTGACCTTCTTGTCCCCATCCCTGTGGTGGCCCCAAGGTCCCCATGGTGGCCCTCATGTCCCCATCCCATCCTCGTGGTGGCCCCAAGGTCTCCGTGGTGGCCCCGAGGTCTCCATGGTGGCCCCAAGCTCCCCGTGGTGGCCCCAAGGTCCCCATGGTGACCTTCTTGTCCTCGTGGTGGCCCCAAGGTCCTCGTGGTGGCCCCAAGGTTCCCATGGTGACCCTCATGTCCCCATCCCATCCTCGTGGTGGCCCCAACGTCCTCGTGGTGGCCCCAAGGTCCCCATAGTGACCTTCTTGTCCCCATCCCATCCCCGTGGTGACCCCAAGGTCCCCATGGTGGCCCCAAAGGTCCTCCTGAAGGACCTGCCGTCCCCGTGGTCGCCCCAAGGTCCCCGTGGTGGCCCCGAGGTCCTCGTGGTGGCCCCAAGGTCCCCATGGTGACCTTCTTGTCCCCATCCCATCCCCGTGGTGGCCCCAAGGTCTTTGTGGTGGCCCCAACGTCCTCGTGGTGGCCCCAAGGTCCCCATGGTGACCTTCCTGTCCCCATCCCATCCTCGTGGTGGCCCCAAGGTCCCCATGGTGGCCCCAAAGGTCCTCCTGAAGGACCAGCCATCCCCTTGGTGGCCCCAAGGTCCTCATGGTGGCCCCAAGGTCCCCGTGGTGACCTTCTTGTCCTCGTGGTGGCCCCAAGGTCTCCATGGTGGCCCCGAGCTCCCCATAGTGGCCCCAAGGTCCTCGTGGTGGCCCCAAGGTCCCCGTGGTGACCTTCGTGTCCTCGTGGTGGCCCCAAGGTCTCCATGGTGGCCCCAAGGTCCCCATGGTGACCCTCATGTCCCCATCCCATCCTCGTGGTGGCCCCAACATCCTCGTGGTGGCCCCAAGGTCTTTGTGGTGGCCCCAAAGTTCCTCCTGAAGGACCTGCCATCCCCGTGGTGGCCCCAAGGTCTCTGTGGTGGCCCCGAGGTCCTTGTGGTGGCCCCAAGGTCCTCATGGTGGCCCCGAGGTCTCCGTGGTGGCCCCAAGGTCCCCCTGGTGACCTCCCCCACCCCCCTGGTGTCCCCCCAGACCCACTTCATGCAGTGCACGGAGCACAACGTGGACTTCGAGGGCCTGGACTGTGACATCTTCGAGTCGCCGGTGCCCATGACCATGGCCCTCTCCGTCCTGGTCACCATCGAGATGTGCAACGCCCTCAACAGGTAAGGGTGGCCTTCGTCACCATGGTCTTCCTCACCCACCCTCCTCTTCCTCACCGTCATCTTCACCACCTTCCCAATCACCTCAACCATGGTCTTCACCACCATCCCCTTCACCATCATCTTCATCCTCTTCACCATGGTCTTCACCATCATCACCTTCACCGTGGTCTTCACCACCATCACCTTCATCATGATGTTCACCACCATCACCTTCATCACCTTCACCGTGGTCTTCACCACCATCCCCTTCACCATCATCTTCATCCCCTTCATCATGATCTTCACCACCATCACCTTCACCATCATCTTCATCCCCTTCACCATGGTCTTCACCACCATCCCCTTTACCATCATCTTCATCCTCTTCACCATGGTCTTCACCACCATCACCTTCACCGTGGTCTTCACCATGGTCTTCACCACCATCCCCTTCACCATCATCTTCATCCCCTTCACCATCATCTTCATCCCCTACACCATGGTCTTCACCACCATCCCCTTCACCATCCTCTTCATCCCCTTCACCATGGTCTTCACCACCATCCCCTTCATCACCTTCACCATGATGTTCACTACCATCACCTTCACCATCCTTATCTTCACCATCACCTTCACCATGGTCTTCATCACCATCACCTTTCATCACCACCATCATCATCATCCCCTTCACCATGGTCTTCACCACCATCACCTTCACCATCATCTTCATCCCCTTCACCATGGTCTTCGCCATCATCACATTCATCATGATCTTCACCACCATCACCTTCACCATCATCTTCATCCCCTTCACCATGGTCTTCACCACCATCCCCTTTACCATCATCTTCATCCTCTTCACCATGGTCTTCACCACCATCACCTTCACCGTGGTCTTCACCATGGTCTTCACCACCATCCCCTTCACCATCATCTTCATCCCTTTCACCATCATCTTCATCCCCTTCACCATGGTCTTCGCCACCATCACCTTCATCATGATCTTCACCACCATCACCTTCACCATCATCTTCATCCCCTTCACCATGGTCTTCACCACCATCCCCTTCACCATCCCCTTCACCATGGTCTTCGTCCCCTTCACCATCCTCATCTTCACCATCACCTTCACCATGGTCTTCATCATGGTCTTCACCACCTTCATCATTCACCTTCATCCCCTTCACCGTGGTCTTCATCACCATTCCCCTTCACCCTCATCCCCTTCACCATCATCTTCATCCTCTTCACCATGGTCTTCATCATGGTCTTCCCCACCTTCATCATTCATCTTCATCCTCTTCACCATGGTCTTCATCACCATTCCCCTTCACCCTCATCCCCTTCACCATCATCTTCATCCTCTTCACCATGGTCTTCACCACCATCACCTTCCCCTTCACCATCCTCTTCATCCCCTTCACCATCGTCTTCACCACCTTCATCTTCACCCTGGTCTTCACCACCATCACCCCTTCACCATCATCTTCATCCCCTTCACCCTCTTTGTCTTCACCACGGTCTTCATCATGGTCTTCACCATCACTTTCATCACCACCATCATCTTCACCACCTTCACCATCATCTTCATCCCCTTCACCACGGTCTTCATCATGGTCTTCACCATCACTTTCATCACCACCATCATCTTCACCACCTTCATCTTCACCATTGTCTTCACCACCTTCGTCTTCTTCACCATGGTCTTCGTCATGGTCTTCACCACCTTCACCATCATC